TCTCATTCTGTTGCAACTGGAGCCTGGTGGAGCAGAGAGCAGATGTGATCTTGCTCTATTTTTCTCCTGCTTAGCCCTCTTCTGCTGGTTCCTGAGCATTACCTCATCTGTATCTTTTTTTTCTTCATCTCTTGGTTTGATCAGCACTGTTCCTTGCTCTGATGAATTGTTTCGTTGATCTCCTTTTCCCATAGCAAGAGTAGAAGTGTTGGATATCCGTGTTGGTATCTGCCCATCCATTTGAGAAGGATGGGTGGGGGTAGAAGATTGAAAGGAAAAGGAAAATATGATCTTAAATGTTACAACAGGGTAAAAGCTGAACTCTGCCTCATTACCATTCACAGTTTAAAGGGACATAGGTGTCCTGAATGCTTCAGGGGGACCATCAGGGTCTATTCTGGGGCCGTTTGGGACCGTTTTAGTCAAATAAACGCGATTTTGCGCAAAACAAATCGCAAAACTAGGCGGAGGTGCCCCGCAGCAAAACGGTGCCCTCAACCAAGATGGCGGCACCCTGCAGCAGGGCAGTGCCCACAAACAAGATGGCGGCAGCGCAGGAACGGCTTCCGGACATCTCTTCCGCACACAGGATTCCCCCGGCTGCTCCATGCGCAGGCGCACTGCGGGCAGCTCTGTGGGGCGCGGCCTTGCGTGACCCGGCAGCGGATGGAGCAGGGAAGCGGAAGTGGTATGGGGGAGGGGCGGAGAGAAGGGCCTGTGTGTTTGGAGTGGGGGTGAGTGGTGTGTCCCTGTGGTTTCATTTCGTGGTCATTTTGGGGTTGTTTGGGCCTTTCGGAGGCTGCTTTGGTTTTGGGCTGCATTGGAGTCATTTTAGGGCTCTTTTGGAGTAATGTTGTAGGCAAAACCGTCGTGCAGTGGGTGAGCAGTCAGTGGGGTTCCGTCCAGCGGGGGGGGTCTCTGCCGGGCTCCCCTCTAGGGCCGGTTCTTTTCATTGTCTTTATAAATGGCGTGGTTGGACAGGAAGGTGTTCTGAGCAAGTTTGGTGACAGTGCTTAATAGGGAGGGGAGAAGCAGAGGAGGCTGAATGGCGGCCTCATAACTTTTGTGTACGTGTAGGACCCCAAATGAATGCAACCCCCCCCCCCCAAACAAAAGGCACCAAAAAAAGGCCCCAAATGGGATCAAAACGGTCCCAACAGACTCAAAACTATCCCAGAATGACCCCCCAGCAGCCCCAAGTTAACCTCAAAGTGGTCCCAGATAGCACCAAATTGTCTACAAACAGCCCCAAGTAACACCAAACAACCGTCAAAAGGGACCTCAGATGGCCCTAAAATTATCTCAAAAACCAGCTTGAAATCACCCCAGATGAGCCCAAAATGTTTAAAATCAGCCCTAATATGGCCCAGATGGATCCAAAATGACCTCAAAAGCACCCTTCAAGGTAAAACCGAAATGATCCCCTGCCAGAAAAGCTCCGAAATGGACCCCAAATTCCGCCTCCCCCTCCCACCCCAGCGGAGCAAAGCAGAACTCTACCTCCCCTTTCCCCCCCCCCCCAGGTGCCACCTCCAGGATCCAAAAGTGGGTGTCAACCCCCATGGCAGGGGCAGGGCCCCCATAGGGTCCAATAAGGTGAGTCCATCCCACCAGGTGCAGCAGATCCTGCAGAGTTGAGAGCAGCTCAGAGGTGGGGGTTCCTTCTAGGAGAGTGAAAGAAGACATGAGGAGGCTGAAGTGTCCCAGAGACCCTTCTCTGAAAAAAAAAAAAAAAAAAAAAAAAGGGAGAGACCTCCCCACAGAAACCAATAACCAATATATGTAGGGGTCCATTTCCCCACCCCTCAAATAAAAAAAAGAAATGAGGAGACTCCCCCCAGGAATCCCAATACGTGTAGGGACCCCTTCCAGGAGCTCCAAAACAGGGGAGGCCTCCCTTGATGACACCAGTAATCAAAGGAATCCCACCCCAAAAAACTGAGAAGACCCCTATTATCTATAGGGACCTCCCTTAATTACTCCAATTAAACATGAGCCCTTTCCCCCCATGGACTACAAAACCTGTAAGGACCCTTCCCTCCCCCCCTCAGGGACCCTGATAAGACTCTTCCCCTCAGCATCCACTGCCTGTGCTGTCTGCTGCCACCACAGCTCCTCCAGCAGCCAGCGTGTGCCCCACTGCCCCAGGTCCATGGGATGCGACTGCTCCAAATCTACTCCAGGGGGCCTGAGGGAGGACAAAATAACCCCAAAACACTAGTAGGATCCCCCTTCCCCCTCTAAAAAAAGAGGAACTAGGAACTGGGAGCACCCCAAAAGTGGTGTGTCCATACGCTCCTCCAGTAACACAGACTTCTGGGGCTGCTTCCCCTACATAAAGACTGCCCCTCCCCAAAAAAGGACCCTATGGGAAGTGGGAAGGTCACATAGGAGCCTATGGGAGTTCCCTAGATGTCCCCCACCCCAGAAGGGGTTTCAGGGACTCCATAGGATTCCCTATGTGCCCCCCTAAAAGTAGACCCCCCAGTGCCCCGCATGGCAAAAAGAACCCCATCAGAGTGGAAGTCCCACAGTGGGCTAAGCTGATCCCCCAAGTGCTTCCCAGCCCAAAAAGGACACCATGGGGTGGGGATTTTACAAAGGTCTGGGGGGGTTCCCCAGATGCCCCCCAAACCAAAAAGAAATCCATGGGAGTAGAGGATGCCAAAGGTGTCTATGAGCATTGTCCAAGTGCACCCCACCCCAAAAGGATCCCTTGAGGGGGGAGGTCCACAGGGCTCCATGGAGATTCCCTGGGCACCCTCCAGACCAAAAGGAGGCCATGTTCCCCCACCCCTCTCCCATGGGAGTTGACGGCTCCCTTTGGGGCCTATGGGGGCTCTCCAGATGCCCCCCTCCACCATGACAACCCCCTACAAAGCCCCCCATTGTTCTATATTGACCTTCTCCTTTTTTTTGGGGGGGGGAGGTGGGGGTGGGGTGCGTTCCACTGCTCCCACTCTTGAGAAGGAAGAGCAGCTCAGCAGCATGTCCTCGGGGTAGGGGGTGTCTGGGAGGGGTGAGGGCAGCAGCCTCAGGAGATTTCTCACCCAGCAGCAGCGCCGTGAAGGTATGATGCCCCAGATCTATGTGGTCACCTGGTGGAGGCTGAGGAGGTGACATTCTGGGGGAGGATTTGGGACATTTGTTTGGTTGGCATTTGTGTGTGTGTGTGTGTGCTTTTGGAAGTTATTTTGGGGGTCTTAGGGAGCCTTTTGGATGAGTTGGGGGTTATTTTGGGAGTTTGGGCATTATTTGGAGGAATCTGAGGGGGGCTTTAGAGGTCATTTTGGGGTATTTGGGGATATTTGGGGATTATTATGTGGGAATTGGGGCAATTTGGGGGAGTTTGGGGGCACTTAAAGTTTACATTAGAAAGGGCTGGGGTGATTTGAGTTTATTGCAGTAGTTGGGGGAGATTTGGGGGCGTTAGGGGTATTCTGGCATATTTACGAGGCAATTTGGGGGTTATTTTAGGGGTTTTTATGACATTTGTGGGTGATTTTAGGGGGTTTGAGGCCATTTTCATGTTATTTTGTTGGGATTTGGGGCATTTGGAAGTTATTTAGGAGGACATGGGCATTTTGGAGTAGACTTGGAGGGGGCTGAGGCATTTGGGAATTATTTGGGGGCTTTTGGATTATTTGGGGGCATTTTTTGAGTTATTTGGGGAAGAATTATGGACATTTGGGGATATTTGGGGGGGTATCTGGAGGTGTTTTGTGGGGTGGGAGGGCTGTACCTACAGGATGAGCTCCAGCACATTGTGGGGCCGGGAGGGGGGAGGGGTGCAGACCACCACCATCCACCTGAGGACCAGTGCCATCAGCCCTGCCACCAACTGTGCCACACACTGCTCAGGGGAGATGGGGGGGTTGGCACAGGGGGCTCCCCCCTCACAGCCCTGTGTGTGTCCCCAAGATGTCTCCATATCCTCTATGTCTCCCAGTGACCCCATGCCCCCCTGACAACATCTCCATGTGCCCACCCTTACCTCCAGGGCCCCTTTATGTCCACCAGACCACCCTCACGTGCCCAGAGCCTCCCTCCCACTCATGTCCCCCACTGTTCCCGTACTCCCCCAGAAGACCCCCCATACGCATCTCTGGGACTGCTCCAGGTCTCCCAATATCCCCATTTGCCTTCACTTCAGGCCTGCCCAGGTCACCTGATGACCCCTCCCCTTCCCCTACCCGGACCACTCATTCCCCACAGAACCCCCTAGACCTTCATGGCTCCTCTATTTTACTTTGGGGCCCTCCATGCCCCCCCATAGCCTCCGCACCCATCCCTTTGGCTCCCTACTAGCCCTTCCTCACCTCTGGCCCCCTTGACCTGTATGACCCTCCCACGCCCTGCACCCCTTGCCCCGTCTCCCCCCCTTGCCTCTGCCCTTTGCTGCCCTGTCCTCCTGCAGGAGAGGAGGGCGGGATGGTGTGCTGCATGCAGGAGCTGTTGGGCCACCATGGAAGTGGCTGGTGCCAATGTAAAGCACAGTGTTGTCTTTGAGTCTCTACATCCAATAAAGAAGAGGGAACCGCCCATGGGGCAAGAGGTGCACTCTGTACCCACCCAACACGGTGTCTGGGGCCAAACCTGATGGTTCGGTTCGTTCCAAACCCCTTCTACACATACCCAATGGCTTGCTCCGTTCTGATCCCCCCACACCCAATGGTTCCCTCCATTCTGCGTCCCACGTACACCCAGTGACTCACTCCATTCTGACCCCTCCCACCCAATGCTTTGTTCCATTCTGACCCCCCTGCACCCAGTGGTTCACTTCATTCTGATCCCTGCCCCCCCCCTTCCTCACACACACACAGTGGTTTGCTCCATTCTGGCTCCCTCCACTCTCAAGCCATTCTATGACTTCTATGAAACTGGGGACTATGGGGGGGGCGGAGGGGGACGACTGGGGCTTAAGTGGACAGTTTAGAGCCGGAGGGGGGAAACTCAGGGGTCAGCTGAAGGTTTAGGGGCGATCCTGGGGGTCTCCGGGGTCTCCTACCTACGAGGCGCTGTCCCGGTGCTGAAACGCGCCGCCGCCGCCGCGGCGCTGTTGGGCTCCTGTTGATGTTCGCCGATTAATGTCAACGAGCCGGGTTTGTTGTTGTTGTTCTTTTGTTTGGTTTTGTTTGGTTTTGTTGTTTGTTTGCTTGTTTGTTTGTTTCTTCATGGAGGAATTCCGTTCCACATCTCTGCTTCTGATGTCTTCTCAAAGTGTTCATCAGAGAGTGGTGGTGAAATTTTGCTGTTCCTGCATTTCATCCTTGAAAACAGTTGTTCACAGATGTGCATACTGCCAAAAAGCAATGGCAGGAGAACGTCATGACTGTGAAGCGGGGGATCTTGTTCTCTGGCAAGACAGGTGTTTTGCAGTTCTGATGAAGAGGTACGATCCCTGTTCTGAGTTGAAAATCTGATTGCAATTCAATATGTTCCATTTGAAGATTGGCAGGTGATATATTTATGGTGACTGGAAATTACCCGTTCCACTGCATGTCCTGTGCATCTATTGCAACTTCACACCTGGGAGGGATCAGGACCACATGTTGTCCTGCTTCACACTCACACAGTGATTAAAGTGAAAGGAGTCTACTTAGCTGGAATCAGTAACTCTGTTCTCTGCACTTGCACACTGCATTCTTCCTTACATTTCCATTCCAGGGAACAGAGAACCTTAGTGTGGTGGTTTAATAGCAGCAGGGAGCTCAGCACCCTGCTCACCCCTGGCCCCTTCAAAACAGAATGGGGAGAATATATGATGAAAAGCTGACAGCCTGCAAAGTAAGTTAAGGACAGGGGAGCAAATGCACTGGCACGCACTGAGCACTGGCAAAAGAGGCGCAGCAAAGGGACGGTTAACTTACAGCTTTTTGACAGCAGGTGGGAAGCCTGGGCTAGCTTTGGAGCTGGATCTTACTTCAAACATGGTGCTTTTTGAGGAGGGAGTCAGTAGGACACAGCAAGGAGCAGCAGCTCCTGAAGGCTTGAGAAGCCAAAAACAATAACTCAGGCATAGGCCAGCAGCCTTGGATCCATCCCATGGTCCCTGCACATGGGGAGCACAATGGGTTCCATTTCTCAGGAGGGGCAATAGGAGTTGAGAAAGAGCCCAAGCAGCATGCATGTCTGCAAAGTCCATTCCAGACTCCTTTCTGCAAGGAGCACACGCTGAAAAGTCCTCCAGATGTGAATACAGTCTGCATGTGAAAATGAAGAAGAAATCGATGGTGGGGGAGTTGGGAAATGTAAATGCCAAAGCATTGTTGATGAAGATGAGTTCAGCTGGCATGCATGCAGCAGGAGCCTTCAGGCCTGTACTGTTGGTTGATATGGGCAACTGTCACACTTCATTTTTAGGTACATCTCAGTTGGCCCTCAGCAGTGGAGCCAGGAGTCTGCCCCAAGTTTGAGACACATTTTTTGTCTTTGATCTGTTTTGGTGAGAGTGGTTTGAGTTGGGTTATTTATATAGAAACATTTAGATTTGGTGGGAAATTTTGGTGGTAGCTGAACAGTGGGTCTGGATAATCTTGGAGCTCTTTTCAACCTTGGTGATTCTGTGATTTGTCTTTGACAATTTGTGTCAACGTTTCATCCATCCTCTGCTACCATTCTGTCTTCAGTGAAAAAGCTCCCCCTCGGGAATCTGAGACCCTGGAGATTAGTGAGAGGATCTGGGGAATGGAAGACCCCCCTTCTGTCAGGGAAGAGGTGGTCCGGGAGCGCCTAGGCAACATCAATGTTCAGAAATCCATGGGACCCGATGGGATTCATCCACGGGTGCTGAAGGAGCTGGCAGAGGTGATTGCTGAACCGCTTTCGGTCATCTTTGAGAAGTCTTGGAAGACGGGGAAGGTGCCTGAAGACTGGAAGATAGCCAACGTCACCCCGGTCTTCAAAAAAGGCAAGAAGGAAGACCCAGGCAATTATAGGCCAGTCAGCCTCACCTCTGTCCCTGGAAAGGTGATGGAACAGCTTGTACTGGATGTCATCTCCAGACAACTGGAAGAAGAGGAGGTTATCAGGAGTAGTCAGCACGGGTTCACAAGGGGGAGGTCGTGCTTGACCAACCTGGTAGCCTTCTATGATGTTGTCTCTGGCTGGGTGGATAGGGGGAGAGCAGTGGATGTAGTCTACCTTGATTTCAGCAAGGCATTTGATACTGTCCCCCATGACGTCCTTATAACAAAGCTGAGGAAGTATGGGATAGATGAGTGGACAGTGAGGTGGGTTGAGAACTGGCTGACTGGCAGAGCACAGAGGGTCGTTGTTGGTGGTGCAGAGTCCGGTTGGAGGCCTGTAACTAGGGGTGTTCCTCAGGGGTCTGTGCTGGGTCCGATCTTGTTCAACATCTTCATCAATGACCTTGACGAGGGGATGGTGGCCACCCTCAGCAAGTTTGCCGATGATACAAAGTTGGGAGGATTGGCTGACACGCCTGAAGGCTGTGTTGCCATTCAGCAAGACCTGGATAGGCTGGAGAGCTGGGCAGAAAAAAACCGGATGAGGTTTAACAAAAGCAAGTGTAGAGTCTTGCATCTGGGGAGGAATAATTCCATGCACCAGTACAGGTTGGGGGATGACCTGCTGGAGGGGAGCTCTGCGGAAAGGGACCTGGGTGTCCTGGTGGATGACAGGTTGGCCATGAGCCAGCAGTGTGGCCTTGTGGCCAAAAAGGCCAATGGCTTACTGGGGTGCATTAAAAAGAGCGTGGCCAGCAGGTCGAGGGAGGTGATCCTCCCCCTCTACTCTGCCCTGGTAAGACCTCATCTGGAGCACAGCATCCAGTTCTGGGCTCCCCAGTACAAAACAGACAGGGATCTCTTGGAAAGAGTCCAGCGGAGGGCCACGAAGATGGTGAAGGGCCTGGAGCATCTCTGCTATGAGGAAAGGCTGAGTGAACTGGGTCTGTTCAGCCTTGAGAAAAGGAGACTGAGAGGGGACCTGATCCAGGTCTATAAATATCTAAGGTGTGGGGGGCAGAATGGCGAGGCCGGACTCTTTTCAGTGGTGAGTGGAGACAGGACAAGGGGAAACGGCCAGAAACTGCAGCATAGGAAGTTCCGCACAAACATGCGCAAGAACTTCTTTACAGTGAGGGTGACGGAGCACTGGAACAGGCTGCCCAGGGAGGTGGTGGAGTCTCCTTCTCTGGAGATGTTCAAGACCTGCCTGGATGCCTACCTGTGTGACCTGGTGTAGGGAACCTGCTTTGGCAGGGGGGTTGGACTCGATGATCTCTGGAGGTCCCTTCCAACCCCTACAATTCTGTGATTCTGTGATTCATGTACAATACAGTGATAAGCAATAGATAGAACAATGTTAGAGTTAGTAGAATCAAAACTAGGTGAAGCGTGGAATTAAAAGCTCTTGTTGCCATTGATGACATCCTTCTTCACTCTTCCTGGACATGGTGTATCTCTTCTGTCATGAGGAATGGTGATTACAGGTTTTTCTCCATTATTTCAGATGCATTCTAGCAGTTGGCACAGGTCATCATAGCCGTAGCTAGTTCACTAATATAAGATTCGTTCTGATGGGACTGGAAAGGTGTTGGCATCAAATACTCAATATATAATTAGACTGAAGCAATTGATATGATGTAACTGGAGCTGAATCATTCAAGTTGTATCCCATAATTTTAGTAAAACTGTTACCAAAAATCATAACCAAGAACACTCCAAACCAAATGAAGGCTTAGAAAGCCAACATCAGTTTATTGCAGTGCTGGGTGCATGGAGGATTCCTCCTCCTTGCATGCAGGCCGAGGGATGAAAGCAAGCTCAGTATATACACTAAAAAATGAATATTCTCACAATTCTGGAGAAGTGCTTGCCTGTTTCCAGGAAGTCTAATGCATGTTCTAAGACATTGCAAAACTGCCTCCAGCAAGGCGCTGAATTGGGGGAAGGGTCTCAGGTGAGCTCTCTCTTTGCCTGTGTATAGAACTGATGTTGAGAAACATCCTTTTTTTTTTTTTTTTTTTTTCTTCCCCAGGAATATTTCTCTTTGGAGCCTCTTTGGTGCCCAGCCTTGCTTATCTTGTCTGCCCTTGCCCACCTCTCCTGGGGCTGCCAGGCCTCTGGCTCCAGTCAGAGCTGGCTGCGTTGAGGACAGAGCAGTGCTTCCCCTGTGCTTCCTGCCAGGAGGAGCAGCTCTGCTGCCATAGGCAGCTCTCCACACGCTGGGGTTACCTGACGGCCTCGTCCCAGGGACGCTGCCTCAACTTGGAAGCAGCCGAAGAACAAAGCTTTTACCGCCTCTTCTTGTCAACGGGACCTTCAGACTGAGCTTCCTTCTTTGCAGCGCTGCCCTGCGCCTTCTTGGCCCTGGAGAAAGCCTCACGGGGCACAGAGAGGCAACAACCTCTTCAATAAAAGCACAAAGTTAAACCAACCCAGCACAAACGTGCTGTTTGGAAGTGAGAGTATTTTGGAGCTGCTTTTATTTCCCAATATCCTTGTCTGAGCAAAGAGCCTCTGTAGAGGCAGAGCAGTCTCAGTGCCAAGGCAGGAAACAGCTGGAAGGCAGAGAGCACTGCCCAGCCAGCGTGATCCTGGGGGCATCGCAGGGTGCCAGGGAAGGGGATGGGGGTGCTTTGCTCCAGGGCTCCCCTTGTCACTTAGCCCAGGAGGCATCAGCTCCGGATGGCATCAGGCAGCTGCTCTGGATTTTGCCGTGAGATGGAAGTGCTTTCCCTGCCCCTGGATAAGGAGAATTAAACAGTGAAAACCCACATGGACCCCATTGCAGTTGGGTTGCTGCTCAATTCCCACCCCTTTCTGCCCTGCTCTCCCCATGGGGAAGCACAACCATTCCTCCAGTGCCAGGAGAGACCACAGCACAGACGTCACGAGCTGGCAGACACACAAGGATGTCACAATTACACATGGGCACGTTTTATTCTCTTGATGCACCATTTCTGCTCAACAGCCAAAGCTTTATGGATTCAAAACCAGTAGCCTTCTCCCCCTCCCACTCACCCACCCACACTTTTTTGCCTGCATATCCCCTTTACCACCTCTCACCCACTCTTAGATTTCTAATTTGAGTATTATATCTGTTTGGAGTCTGTCTCAGAAGAAGCCAACAGACAACTCATTCTTTTTTTTTTTTTTTTTTTTTCCTCCCAAGAACCATATAAATTACATGCAAAACATTGTACATAGAGATTAATATCAAAATGCAATACAGATCAGGTGCACTTTAAGCTGGACTCTAGGATATGGCAAACACACCAGGGTACATAGTTTTGAAACCACCTTTTTTTTTCTTTTTTTTTAATGTCATGCATACCACATAATATTCAGTCTTTTGTTTTATATTTTTCTGTTTTTATACAAAAATACCAGTGCTTATTATACTAGTTACTGGAAAAGAAAAAAAACTCAGCTCTGAGTGCCCTCTTCAAATGAAAATTTTGTCGTGAGAGAGCTGGATAAATATATATATATACACACACACACACAAATGTTGTTTTAATACTGTATATATATATATATATATATAAATATATATATACACACACATACATATATATAAATATATATATATAATTAAGGGTAGGAAATAAACTAAAGGCAGTTCCAGCCATGGGCTTCTTCGAACAAAAACCGGTTTTCTTTTCATTGAGCAGGACGATGAGGGAGGCAGGGAACAGCCCTGGCAAAGAGGCGGCGGGTAGGAAGAGCTGCGTGCCACAAACGGCCCCTGTGCTCCGGGGTGACGATGGCACGGCGGCCGGACACAGCGGCGAGGAGCAGCTGCTGGTGCTAGGAGCTTCCTTCCCCGCAGGGACGCGCGGTGGAGCTGCTCCGTCCCCGCAGCCCCTGGCACGGAGGTGCGCTCCCTGGGGCTGGGAGGGGGCTTTCCCCTTGGCCCCGAGTCCTGGCGCAGCAAGCAGCAGTCCTAGAGGGGTTGAGCACTGCAGGACTCGGCCACGGAAAGCCAGAGGCTGCCCATGCTAAAATGCAGTTTATTTATTTTTTCCCTTCTTGAGACTGTTTCAAAATTCTCCTCGATGCTTATTGCACAAAACCTTTGAAAATTAAGTACAGCCCCTGTGTAAATCAAAGAAAACCTCATCACAGAATGCAAATGCCTACGAATGGCTGTTCGGCACTGCACACAGGACGTGATGTAATGTCTTTGGTACCAATCTGCCCATTTACTTCATGGAAAACACCACCACCAGAGACCCTGTCATTAAGAACTGGATGCAAAATTATGTTCAGAGTGTTTTAATAATGAAGCATTCCAAGGCAAGTTAACACAGATCACAGGGTATGATTTCAGTTCCTGTCTGGCAATGGCACTCATCGCAGTTCAAACAAAGTGAAAAACAAAATCTCCCCCTCTTCCAAGGCATGTCGCAGAGTCCCCACAGTCCATGCTGCTGCCCATGCCTCTCCAGCAGAGCACCCATCTCCCCATATGTTTGTTTGTTTTTATAATGTCCTCAATAACTTAACCCAATAATCGTCTGCTGCCAGTATATCATTGAAACCAAATAAGAAAAAATACTTTACATGAAAGATGTATGCACAATAAATGGCTTACCTTAAGCAACCAGCCATACCAACATGATTTATATATATATATACACACATATAAATATATATATATATATATATATATATATATATATATATATATATATA